AGATTAGCCAACCAAGAAACCTCACTTGCCCTTGAAATAGCAAGGGGTCATCTAATTTCTGCGGTACAGTTGTCCTGAAGAGACCGTTCAAAGATTTCAGTCTCTTTTTGAGAAACCTAGGCTTGATGTTTACCCGGTAAAGATGTGCACTTTGCTATATGAGGCCAAGTTTGAGGATGTGGGTGAGCCGTGCAAAGCCCTGCCCCTTTGGGAAACGCATGTGGGCTACATTGGCCTGCTGGTAAAACAGGGGCCACCGTACGAGCCACCACCTCATTAACTAGATATTTCCAATAGCTTCACGTCAGGTAGCTTCGTCTCCCTTTTGCAAATGAGGAAACTAAGGCCCTGTGAGACCAGGCCGGCTGAAAGGCCCCAGGACCAGAATGGAGGTACAGCCTGAATGAGACTGCTTTTCCTTCTGTGCTGTTAGATATGCATTTTAGGATTAAAACTGAGGATCCCATTCTTGAGATGATTCATGTCTGTGTTACTCGGTCTGGGAGTTGTGCACATGTGCTGGGTGGCCAGGGAGGAGAGTGCTTGGCAATGCTCCAGGGTAGAAGTGGCACATTTTCCCGGAACACCAATGACATGGTATCGTAATATAAAAAGAGACACAGTGGAATGAAAAATGTTCTGGTGTCGAATGCTACCTGTACGCATTTTTGAAGGAGAAACCCAGGCCTTGGAGACAGTTCTCTGCAGTCCGTGGATGTCTCTCATCGCCCCGCATTTACTTCTCTGCCTCAGGGTTGCTGGGTGGAGGTTTGGAGCAGCACTTCCTTAAGTGCAAGTCCGGGGCCATCTGGCCCTTTCCACTCTCCCAGCTATATGTGGTGAAAAGGAATTTCTTAACTATGTCAGCCGGCGTGGGAGAGTTGGCGCCGCGGTCTGTTTGTACAGCTGCTCCCTGGGCTCGGGGCTGCTATCTTTCAGGCCGCGCGTATCTGTGAAGGTGCCGGGAAGGGCTTCTGGGGGCTGGAGGAGGTGAGCACGGGGCAGGGGAGGTGGTTGTCCTCCAAGTACATGCCTGTGGCCATGGATAGTCACATTTTTCAAAGAAAACAATATATTTTTTAAAAAATTTGATATCTGTTGAATTTCCATAGTTCAGAAGTCATGAGAGGGTTTGCAATGGAATCCTTGCCTCTACTTCTCTCCATAACCCGAATCCCTCCCTCACACCAGTCAGTGTTACTTGTGTAGCCAAGTACACACATCTTTATCCCTCCTACTCCCTCCTTATACAAACAGGAGTATGCCATGTGCCATAGTCTGTTTCTTGCATTTTCTTCACTTTCTTTTCCTTTTTTTTTTTTAATCACACTAATATAACATGTAGCTAATGCCCGATTAATTGGCATTTAGTTTGTTTTTAATCTTTTGCTCTTATGGTGCTGTAATTAATAACCTTTTTTATATGTCCTTTTGCACACATGTAGGATGAGTGCTAGAGGAAACGTTGCTGGGTCGGAGACAATGCACATTATCGTTTTGATGGATGCTAACAACCTGCCCTCTGGGAGCGCGTATCAGTTCCTGGCCCCAGAGCAGGGCCTGCGAGAACCTGCCTCCTTACACCACCCACACACTGTTACCCAGCCTTTGGCCTTGACTGTCTGAAGAAGTGATTTCAGTGCAATTGTAGGGGATGGTCTGACCTTGAAAAACCGTGGAACACAGCACATCTGCTGCTTTTGTCTCTGCGGTGCCGACCCAGTGAGGTGCCTTCAGCCTTTTAGAATGAGTGGCAGAGGAATTGAAATTGCTGTTTCTTAACTACTTATGACTGAATAATAGTTAAAATGTTAAAAAGCAAATCAATGTAATCCTTTTAAAAATAGGTATCACTTAGGCGACATGACACGCTAAATGAGTGGTTAGAAACTGTGCTCCTTATGATGGGACCTCCTCTCTAGTCTCAGGACAGGCAGGACAAGATCAAAGAGTCGCTGAAGTGCAGCGCCAGCAGCTTCAGGGAGGTCAGCAGTTGTCCCCAGTGACCTCCTGTCCGAGCAGATCTTGACCAGCTCTGGCCTTGGTGGCCTTCCGCTGCCTTTGCCACATTCATGAGACACATTGTAAGCGTTTGGAAGAGACGACGCATAGATCAAAGTTCCAAGTTGCAAGGGCTTTTGGAGATCCTCTCAGCCAGGTTTCTTTTCACTGGGAAGTCGTGGAGTAGAATTGCATGGGGGACTTGCCTTGGGCAAAGGGATATGGTTTTGAGGTGTTTAGATTCCAGGACTGCTGCAGGTGAGCCAGGGGTGGTTTCAGAAAGAGGAAGTTTGTCCTCTGGGCTTTATATAAAATAGTGGACTGGGTGCGTGTGGCAGGGTGGGGACAGGGCAGGGGTTCGGGAAAGGACTGTCAACAGAGGCTTAAGTTAATTTATTTGTAAACATAGTGTGGTCTACCGCACTATGAAGGCACAAAGAGAAACGTGTTACAAACGGCCAGAACAGGACTGAGCATCTGAGCACACGCAAGCTCCTGCTCTCTCGCCCTGGGGAGCTGGGAGCTGGGAGCTGGGACTGGAGCTGAGCCCTGTTGGTCACACTGAGGGACCTTCTTGCCTGCTCAGTCCTCTCAGGATCAGAATGTGTCCCACAGCTTTCAAACCGAAAATACCAAGTTCTAAACATCAAAACACAGCATGAGCTCCTTTGTCTAGTGTGTCAGGGTGTCATTTAGGCCCCAGTCCAGGTTAAACCAGATCCGGTTTTGTGTCCTTGTCCTGTTCTTGTAGTTTTAGATCAGTGTTCTTGTACATTTAGGTCTGTGGTCCATTTTGAGTTAGTTTTTGTGTTTGGTGTAAGGAAGGGGTCTGATTTCTTTCTTTTGCACGTGGATATATTAGTATATATCCATTTGTCATAGCAGCATTTGTTGAAGGCTGAAGACTTTTTTCCCCATTGAATTGTCTTAGCCCCTTTGTTGAAAATCAGTTGATATGAGGATTAATTTTTGGGCTCCCAGTTCTATCCCATTGATCTGTATGTGTACCCATTTTCCAGTACTACCCTGTCTTGATAACTGTAGCTTTGTAGGGTCTTCTAACTAGAGGCCTGGTGTACAGATTCGTGCACTGGTGGGGTCCCTCGGCCTGGCCTGCACCCTCTCACAATCCAGGACCCCTTGGGGGATGTCGGAGAGCTGGTTTTGGCCCGATCCCTGCAGGCCAGGCCAAGAGACCCTAGTATGCATATAAGATCGTTGGTTAATCTCTTCCCGCCCTCCCCCCTCCCCTCTTTCCTCTGAGATTGTTTCATCAGTCTATTCCATGTTTCCATGCCTGTGGTTTCCGCTCCTGCGTTGAGCGTCTGCCCCCTGGTGGTCAGTGTGCATCATAGTTACTGGACGGTCAGATGGTCGCTTAGGCATATATATATATATATATATATATATATATATATATATGAAAGTTAGGGCAGGAATGAGCAATCCGACTTTGTCTTTACCTGGTCTAACCAGTTATTGGATTCTTTAGATCCCTCTCCAAGCTTTCTGCCACACGTTACTTCTCCTCGTTCATCTTGTTGGTTTAAGTAGGAGATGATATCCAAGAAGTGCCGAGAAATCTCAGCTGCTGGGCCCCTGAGTTCTCCTCGCCATGTCCGCTAACTGTGTTCTGACTCAGTAGAATGTATAGAATTGAACATTTGGGTTGCGAAAAGATGCAGTGGTTTCTGAAACTCTTTACTTGGTTAAGTTCCAGATAATACAGCTTACTGTACTGCTAAAAGATTTAAAGATCTTTCTGAACGGCTATGCAAGCAAGCAAGCAATCCGGCAGCTAGGCCTCCCAGGTGGGCTGTGACATAGCCTTTGAGCTAAACCTCGCCCTCCCTGGGCCTTCCTTTTCTTACAGGCATCTGCATTGCTGTTTCGTGAGCATTCGGTATGCTAATCTGGGCATCGTTGTAGTAGTGGAGAAATGGAAGGTGAGAGATCTGCCGGGAGAGGTGGAATTCTGGACAAGGCCACTTATCACTTCAGGTTACTGAGCCAAAAAAAAAAAAGATAAGTCCATGAGACATCTGGGACTAATAAGAACCATCCTGCTATTGCTACAGTTCCTTCTGTTAGGACTTGTGTGCAGCACAGGCTCATTTTCAGTGTCTAGCACAGTGATGGTGAACCTATGACACGCGTGTCAGAGGTGACACGCAAACTCATTTTTTTGGTTGATTTTTCTTTGTTAAATGGCATTTAAATATATAAAATAAATATCAAAAATATAAGTCTTTGTTTTACTATGGTTGCAAATATCAAAAAATTTCTATATGTGACACGGCACCAGAGTTAAGTTAGGGTTTTTCAAAATGCTGACATGCCGAGCTCAAAAGGTTCGCTATCACTGGCCTAGAGCTTGCACTATGAGCTATATTGTAATTAAAACACATTTTAGTTTCTCAATTGGTGTTAGACATTAAAGAATATCTATACACAGAAACTGTCCTTCATCAAGAGCTTCTATTAAAGGGCCCTGCATATGGTGAGGGGTCAGGGAAGTGAACCCACCAGGGGGCAGTGGCCACAGGTTATGGAACAGGTTGTGGATTCAGTCTGCCTGCATGCATTTCCTCCTAAGTGAACGTGGACAAGTCCCTTAATCCACCCAAGTTTCAGCGTCTTGTCTTTAAAATGACGATAAGAACAGTACTCACCTCCTAGAGTTGTTCAAGGTTGAAGACCTGTGTGAGCCCTCAGCATTTTTTTTTTTTTTTTTGTTAGAACAACTCAGCAAAATAAAATTCCTGTTTATTGTGGACAACATTGTTTCACACATACATTGAACAGGCCAAAAAAAATAAACAGCAATTTCATAGACAAAAAAGGGAAAAAAAGAAACCTTTTTATCTTTGGCCTTTTTAACCATCTCATACAAACCAACTACTTATAGTACAGCTAAGTACATACACAAAAAGTTACTGGAATGCTTGGAATAAGATTTTGTTGTTGTTGTTTTTGCTTTTTTTACAAGGTTTTTTTTCCCTTTGAGATTATAATGAACACGGTCACACCACAAGTAAAGTCAGAAGTAGGACAGGGAATGCTCCGAAGGCTGGTTTGGTCATCCCAAGATCATTAAAAATGGCTGACCCCTAACACTGTGTACAGAAATATAAAATGTAAATAAAAAATACAAACAAATTTTCCTTTTTAAAGTACTTTTAAGAAAAAAAGCAGAGCAGGGCCTTGGAAGTTTTGGTTCTTTTTTCCTGCCCTGTTGCAAATTCACGTTGTGGTTTTGGTTGGGTGGTGGAGAGTGCGTGTCATCTGCAGGTGGCGCTGCCCGAGGTGGGTGGGCAGGCAGGTGGGCGGGAGTCTCTACTAGAAGGTGACCACGTTTAGATTCTGAGACGGGAAGTGGAGGGTGACTAGGTCACGGAGGCCTTTAACTTTTCCTTTTTTTTGCTGTCTAGTCATCCTCATCGGTCTTCTGCTTCTTGGTGTCAGCATCATCATCCTCATCATCTTCAGCTGCCTGTTTGCCTGTAGCTGCCTCAGCCTCCTCATCTTCATCTCCATCCTCTTCCTCACCATCACCTTCCTCTTCCTCCTCCTCCTCCCCTCCTTCTTCCTCTTCTTCATCTACCTCATTGTCAGCCTCCTGCTCCCCATTTTCCTCATTAGCGTTCCCATTTGCAGGTGCATCTTTTCCATTCTCTGCCTCCACAACGTCCTCCTTCTCCTTTAAGTTCTTGGTGGTGATCTCGGAGCTGGTGTCCACGGCCATGTCTGACATGGTGGGGCACGCCGGTGATCCTATGCAGCGGATTTTTTTTAAAAAAGCAAGAGTTGGAGGACTCTGGCGAAGAAGCTGCCGGAGTCCGCAGCGGTGGAGGAGGCGCGGCGGAGGTGGTTGCAGGGAGCGGAGAGGCAGCCACAGGAACAATGCAAAGATGGCTTTTCAGAGCAGCCAGGGGCGAGCCCTCAGCGTTTACCTGAGCATCTCCTAGCTCACTCTCCAGGGCCCTTCTGGCTTCTTTCTCTTCCTTTCTCGTGCACACAAGGGCCTCCTCTAGACGTCAAGCACTTACACAGGCAAGGGTTAAAGCTTTCTGTGAAGAGCCAGATTCGTAAGTTCGGCAGGCTTCGTGACACCACAGGCCTTGTGGTCTCGGCCACAACTCCTCACTCTGCTGTGGTAGCAGGAAGGCAGCCATCGGCAGCGTGTCCGGGTGTGGTGGTGTTCCAGGAACACCGCATTTTTCACGCAGGTGGTGGGCTGGACTTGGCCTGTTGGCTGCAGTGTGCCAGCCCCTGGCTTACGGAATCGAACCCGTGACCCTTCAGTCCGAGGGCTGAAGCTCTAACAACTGAGGCAAACCAACCAGGGCACGTCATGGTTTCTTAATACATGCCAGCTGTCTCCGAGCTGGGGACTGCCCCTGACACTGGTTTCCATGTTTTGCACAGAATGTGGAGGTCCTGGCCAGTCGGAGCGCCTCACAGCAGGCCCAGGGGGATGCTGAGCTGCGCGTGCAGGCCCTGGAGGAGGAGAACGAGCGGCTGCGGGGCAGCCTGGGCGAGCTGGAGCAGAGCGTGGCGCGGCTGCAGAGGCAGGCTGCTGACCTTCAAGGCGACGAGGCCAAAGCCAAGGACACGCTCAGGAAGTACGAGGTGAGGGGGGCTCACGGCACTGGGCGGCGGCGGATCCGCCTTCCTGTGTGAGCGGTGTCAGCAGCGGGAAGGGATGCGTTGCCATCATTTAGTAGGAAAGGTCCAAGCACTCGGGACTGTGTCCTCTCTGCAAGCCATGCTGTTTGTTTCCCCACAAGTGGTTTGAATGGGGGCTGAGCTTCTAGTGAGGCCTGGGAGCAGGGCGGATAAAGGCAGGGTGGGGCATGCATGGGTAGGCACAGGAACCCTGTCCACACAGATGGCAGACAGTAGACACGCTCAAGGTTTGGACACCGAGCAGCTGCCGCCCCATCCCCGAAAAGGCCATCTCAGCAGCACCCTCGGGTCTGTTCTCTCTCATCACCATTTATTCTCTGTTAACACACAGTTGATGGTGTTTGAAGTCACAGACCAATTTAACAAACCAGCTCTGGTTTGCCGGGTTTCTAGAGGTGGGGGGCTGTTCTAAAGAGACAGGCACTGAGGGCCGCTGACAGTAAAAGAGGGGACAAAAGACATGTAAACGGAGATGCACTCCAACAGAGGTTCCCCTAAGGTCAGAGTCACCTGGAAGCCTTTTCCAAGACTCTGGGTGCCGGAGTCGGTTCCCTCAGTACCTGCTGCAGGGGCGAGGCTGGATATCGGTGTTTTCCAAAATCCATCCCAGGTGACTCAGGTGTTCACGTCTGGCTGAGCACGGAACTGCAGACAGGCACACGCATCCAGGAGCACGGCTGTTGTGTGCCGCCTTGGCCCAGGACACGGGCTGTGGCTGTGTCTCCTTCACTCCCCTCCTGCACCGAGCCAGCCGCATAGCACACATCTGAGCACACCTTGACCCCATGTTTTGTCGTAGGGGGAAATCCGACAGTTAGAGGAGGCCCTCGTGTGTGCAAGAAAGGAAGAAAAGGAAGCCACGGCAGCCAAAAGGGCCCTGCAGAGTGAGCTGGAAGAGGCTCAGGTAAACATGGAGGCTGTCATCTCCATCCCTCACACAGGGAGCCCGAGAAGCAGAGGCAGAGGGATGTGTACAGATTGCTGTTGGTCCTCGCCTCCTGGGTAGCTCCTTTGTAGTAACCACTGACCTCAGAGTGTCCACCCAGACCAGCGGGTCTTCCCTGGAGGACATTTGGCGGTGTCTGGAGAAAGTTTTGATTCTCACACGAGGGGAGATACTGCTGGCATCTAGTGGGGAAAGGCCAGGGATGCTGCTGCACATCTTACAGGGCGCAGGCCAGCCCCACAGCAATGAAGGGTCTGGCCCCAAAGGTCAGAAGTACCGGGGTTGAAAAATCCTGCCCAGCGGGCATGGCTCCACCTATGAACCAGGAGGACCACCTATGAACCGGGAGGTCCTGGTTTGATTCCTGGTTGGGGCACATGCCGGAGTTGTAGGCTCGACCCCTGTGGGGCATGCAAGAGGCAGCCGGTCAATGATTCTCTCTGATCTCCCTCTCCCTTCCTCTCTGAAATCAATAAGAATGTATTAAAAAGAAAAATGCTGATCTCGACGTTAGAGAGCTTGACAGCTTTCCCGATATAAACGTGACCTGTGAGAGAAGGCAGGCAGGGCTGTCCCCAAGGCCTCCTGGCGTTGATTGGTTCTCTGGCAGAAGCCAAGTTTCTCTCTCCTCTGGGCCAACAGACTCCAGCGAGTGCAGACCTTGAAGATGGCTTTGACAGGAGCTGGAGGAAGTCCTTCCCTTGAAACTAAATAGCTATCTCCATCAAAATCAGTAGGTTCTTAGAAAATTAGCTTTTCCCACTGGAAGGTTAGAAAGCTTGATTGAGATGCGTTCTAAATAAAAGTCTGCCCTGAAGTTCTAAGTTGACTTTGCACAGTGACCTCCATGTGACCCAGGTGTCTCCCTGCTCTCGGTTTTAAAGAACCAGCACCAACCATCCCTCAGGCGAGCTCCTGAGAAGGTGAAAGCCCCCAAGAAGGTGAAAGCACGGGTTTCTGAGCAGTTGTCTGGGAGGAGGTTGTTAAAGTTTTCCATTAGGAGCTCGAGGACAGGTGGGGGAGGGGCAGTGAGAAGTGGTGAGAGCTGCCTGCAGGCAGCACCCAGATTTGTAGGCCTCATGGCAGCTTTCCTCTCCGCACCCAGTACCCAGCTTACCCAGCTTTACCCCTTCAGGGTGGAGGAGAGGAGCCAGGTACTAGGATTCTCTCAGGTCCCTTAACTCAGGGCCCTCAGCCTTCAGCGGTCTCCACCTTCTTTCTGGCTTTTGACAGAGACCTTGACTTTATATATAATAAAACCCTGTTTGTTTGTTTTTCCCCCTGACTTTGGTGATCTCAGTGTCCTTGCTTTGGATCTCTCTCTCTCTCTCTCTCTCTCTCTCTCTCTCTCTCCCCCCCCCCCCTCCCTCCATCCCTTCCTCCCTCCTTCCCTCCTTTCCTTCCTTCCTTCCTTCCTTCCTTCCTTCCTTCCTTCCTTCCTTCCTTCCTTCCAGATCTTTCTTACAAACTCTTGTTCTGTTTGGTTGATTTTGTGTGGATGGCCATTTCCCTGTGCTCCTGTTTAAGACTTGTGATGGCTGCAGCCCAGCCGCCAAAATGTGGGGTTTCAGTCTGTGAACCAGTTGGGGACAGAAAGAGGAGAAACGTTAGTCCTCTATATGGACAGAGTTCTGTGCCTCGTGTCACGCTCACACGGAGCGCTGGGCGCAGCTATTACAGGCCCTCAATCGCATCGTCCTTTGGTGTTTCACACGGAAGGAAATCGTTCACCAGCAATAAGTCCAGGCTCCGAGTCAATCCAGGGGAGAGAACAGATGATGGCCTCAAGGCCTACAGATAATGCAGCCACTGCCCCCCCCCCCCCCCCGCTCCGCCCCCTGCCCCCAGCTCTGTCCTTGCCTTGGAAGTTATCCCTCACCTGTTACTTGTGTTTGGGCCTGCTTTCCCAGGTGGGGAGATGGTCGGATGCTCTGTGCAGTGTGTGGCCATCCTCACACAATCCAGCAGGGATTTAAGAAGGGCCCGGCCATCTTATCTTTGTTAACCTGAATTATCTGGTCTCAAAAGTTAGTGCTGTGAAACGTTAGTGCACCGTCACCCTAAAGCACGAGGGCTTCTCTAAAATCTGGAAGCAGATAGGCAGCTCCTCCTTCTGCATGCCTCTTCCCAAGGCTGGCCCCTGCAGGGGCTTAGCCCGGGGAGGGAGCGTTTTACATGTCAAAACCCCCTTGCCTTTAGCGATCTGTTGCACCTTCATGAATAATAAATTTATCAAGTTGATAAATTTTCCCCAAGTTTAGACCCTAGTATTAGTCAAGGGGCTTGTATTGCTGGTCTTGGAAATATAGTCACGGTAGCTACAGAGCATTTCACTCCTAACTGCCAAATGCAAAGTTGCCATTTGGGACATGTTTCATGTGAATTTGGGACATGTTTTCTCAGCAGTGATGTGTTGGAACATTATTTCTTAAATAACCAAAGAGGAAAAGCTAGAGAGATGTGCTAACCAGCATCTCTAAACTTCAGAGTATATTAGAATTACCTGGGTCACTTTCAAGTGCCAATTTTCGGGCCCCACTCCAAGAAGAATTGTGGATTCCATCAGAAAGGGCCAGAATCTGCATTTTCAGGAAGGAGGACTGCACCCTGGCCTGATGACTCAGGTATAAGAAGTCTTTAGGTCACTTTTGGGAATAGATATTAATTTTCAACCAATGAGTTTTATTATATGCCTCACAGTGAGTCTGGGTTATGAGATCTACCCAGATAGAAAATCGGTTCCTCGCCTTTACAGATCTTACTACTCTGCACGAGAGGCAAGCATACAAGAAATATTTAAAAATTAATTTAGCGAAAACTATTCTTCTAAGAAAATGTGTGTGTGTTGAGGGTGTGGGTGTTGGCCGGGCCCCAGCCCCACAATGTGTGCGCCTTGGTCTCCAGCGGTGCAGGAGAGCAGAGTTGGGTGGATTGAGCCAGGGGTGGAGCCGAAAGGCACCCATCACATGGAGGTTGAATAGAGCCCGGGGCTGACTAGTCTGCTGACTGGAGCCCTGGGATTGGGATCCAGGAGGAAGAGAGGAGAGGTTGGGGAGACCTTAGGTGCATGGGTTGAGTTGGATCCTGGAGGTTCTATGGAAAGCCGTTGACTGCCCTCTGTATTGGTACTGTTGTTTTTCAAGAATTCACATCTTGAGATACATGTTTCTGAGAGTTTTCTCCCACACAATGGAAC